CAGTTTTCACTTGTATCCTAAAGTGATGAATGGCCTGGGGGGAAAAAAAGGAAAAATTCCTGCAAGTAGAAATCCCCGTGACTCCCAGAGCTCTCCCACCCAGTTTCCATTTTCCCAGGCACCATGATGAATAACTGTAAGGATCTGAAGGCCAAGTGCATCTGCTCAAGGGCGTTGGCACACCTCTGGCTAGGTAGAATGAATCCGGGAAAGGCCACTTATCAAAATTCCAAAACAAGAGCTGAGCCCAGGTCCCCATCAAAGGCAGCACGTAGCCCCAGTACCTCTCCCTCCCACTGCAGGCCATTTCACAGTGGACAGAACAGTTAAGAAATGCCCAAAGGGTCTGAGAGAAAGTGCACTCAACATTATTCCAAGACAGGTTGGCATTTAATTATAAACACAACAGGCAGACATTAAACAAACAGTAAAGGGCTCGTGGACTATAACACATGTGAGCCTTCCTTGGGAAAAAAAATGATAAAAATTAGCCAATAAGATAAATAATTCAGGTAGGAAAAGGGTGGAAGAACATCAGATGCATTTAAATACAGAATTTAGCAGCTGTGGGAATTATTGCTTCAGAAAATAAAATAAATATTGTAAGCCCTGAAAGCAAAATAATTATTAACTAACAAAAAATCAGAAGGTAGGAGGAATTTAATAAAAATTCTAATTTCCATAACTTTCACAACGAGTCGATCAATAGTATAACACTGAAAATTTGATTTTTAAAATTACCTCAGTCTCCAAACGTTTTTCAAAGTCTTTTTTTTACATAAATCTTTTAGAAACCAATGTTGCTTATAATGAAGAGACATCTATTTAAAATTCAATGATTTATTCAGTGTAAAGTTGCCAGAAAGAGTTGAATTTCAGAAAAACAATGAATGTGTTTAGTGTAACTATGTCCAAAATATTACATGATACACACTTATACTAAAAAATAATCATTGTTTATCTGAAATTTGTATTTTTATGTATTAAATCACACAACACTACTCCAGTGTCATTTAAGTATCCATAAATATTAGCTATAGTCCACAAGATGCAAAGTGCTTTTATTTCATACAAACAAAAAGTATTGAAGGTTTCTTTCACCCATGGCAGTTCTGGCATGTCACCCTTTCTTTTCTCCTTTCTTTTTCTAATAAACTTTGTTTGAAAACTCAAAAAAAAAAAAAGAGAAAGAGAAAGAAAGGTATTTTAGTAGGAAAGTGTGAATGTAATTTAAAATTATGGGACTTTGAATTAAGACTTGGTTTCTGAGTTCTAATTCTGACTCTACTTAGCAAATGTATGGGTTTGGACAAGTTTAACCTAAGCATCAGGTTCCTCACAACTTATAAAACATTGTTTGGGCCAGGCGCTGTGGCTCACTCCTGTAATACCAGCACTTTGGGAGGCCTAGGCGAGAGGATTGTCTTAGCCCATGGGTTCGAGACCAGCCTGGGCAACATGGCAAAACCTTGTCTCTATAATAAATCAAAGAAATTAGCTGGGCATGGTGGTGTGTGACTGTAGTACCAGCTACTTGGAAGGCTGAGGTGGAAGGATCACCTGAGCCCAGCAGGTTGAGGCTGCAGTGACCATGAGCAACGTGCCACTGCACTCCAGCCTGGGCCACAGAGTGAGACTCCGACTCAAAAAAATAAAAATAAAAAAATAAAATGTTTGTTTGTATGTTGTTTCTGAGCATCTACTATATTCAGGAACTCTACATGCATGATCTCATTTAATCCTTATAACAATCTGGTGAGGAAGGTATTATCCCTATTGCCAAAACATAAGATTCTTGGTTAAAATTCTGTGAAAGTGCAGGCCACATCTTTTTATTCACTGCTGTATCCTTTGAACCTAGCACAGTAAACCCAGTAGGTACTCAATAAATATCGAATGTATGAAAGAAAACTAAAGCTCACATAGCTATTAAGGAACAGAGCCAAGATTTGAGTTTTATTTTAAAACCTTCACTCTTTTTTTCCATCCTTAGATTTTTATTGAGATGTACTTTTCATATAGTAGAACACACTATCTTATACACATATCTTTATAAATGTTCACCTATATATATATTCCATGTAACCACAATGAGATCAAAATATACAACATTTCCATCTCCCAAAAAGTTCTTCATGCTCCTACCCAGTCCATGGCCCGCTCTCCAAGAGTGAACCTCTATTCTGACTTCTATTAGCAAGATTCCCACTCTTAAATACTAGATTCCTTGCTCCCGAATTGTATCAGTTGGTATACACAGTATTCCTGAAAATATTTTTGTGAAACTGTAGGCTGTATAAGAGTGCTGTTGGTGTTAGAATAGGTCTTTATGCCAGCTCACCCATCACCAATTCAAAAGTGAAATTTTAAGAGGCTATATTATGCCCTCAATTTATCAAAATGAAAGGGTTTTTACCAAAGATTGCTTTCTGATCCTACTTTCTGATTCTGTTCAGTAATCTTGTCTAAAAGGAAAAAAACCTACAGTTTCCCTTTATCATAGACCCTCTGGCTCTCCCTCCCTGGATATTCCTGAGTCCATTGCTTAGATGCTTTTGAATAACCACTCATATTACCCTAGAATTGGCTGCCTCACCCTATAAAGCAGGCTGAAATGCTAAAAAAAAAATACCAGACTAAAGTAAAGCCAGATTAATATCTCAAAACAATTCTTCCATGATTGAATTTGGTATTTAATTTACTCTTCCTTTCTTCCTATTTTTCTCTTTATTCAACAAATATTTACTGAGCACCAAATACTGCTCCCTCCACAGAGTTTGCTGTTTGAGTAGAATCGCTCATTACCCTCTCTTGGCTGTCCTGTAAATCACCAGGCCAAGTTCTCATCTGTTCCAGGAAACAGACGATCTTTCTGTAGTACTTACTGACTGGACATTAAACTACACCTTTCTCCCCTTTTTAGAAACAAGTAACCCACTGTACACCAAACTGTAAGATCCAGTGAACTCAAAATGCACCTGACAGAAATCAGGTAACTTCCATTGCAGCAGGCTTTCATTTTATTCACTGGTCAAACTTGAGATTCACCAGTGAAAGTTTGGAGACTGCACACCAACAGGTACCCCTGACCTCGAAGGGAACTTCTTATCCCCAGAGGGCAGCATCACTTATGGCTAAAATAGCATGTTTGGGCACCAGATTACACAGGTTTGAGTCTGGGCATGCCAAATATTCTCTGTAGGACCACAAGCAAAATTAATTAACTGGTCTCAGTTGCAATATCTGTAAAACAGGAATATACTACCTATATTGTTAGGCTGTTTTGAGGATTAAATCATCTCGGATTATATTTACAAGTGACTCAACACAAGGTAGGCACACAACAGATGTTACCTATTAGGCATCTCAATGAAAAGACATCAAGTTCTGAGCCATTGTCTCCATATAAGAATCTCTCCTTATAGAATTAATTTGAATTAATTTGCTCCTCTATCATACTCACCATGTATTATATTACTATAATTTGTTTATTGCTTGTATTCCCTAATAGGTTATGGGGGCCTTCAAGATGAAGATCTTGTCTGTCTTATTCTTTCTTCTTCACAAAACCAAGCACATAATAAACACTCATTCAGTGCTTACTAAGTGAATCAATGAATACATCCTTTTGCTTAAGTCCAGTTCAAGTGCAGGATGAAGGAATTGCCATATGTCCCTAAAACCAATAATACTTTGCCTAAAGTTTGGTTACCTTAATAATCTAACTAGCATGAATCTCCTTAAATTTTCATAATTTTAGGGCCTATATTGGAGGAGAAGAAATAATAATGAGCATGTGTGGGGTGTCTGTTGTTTGATAGATTTTATGCCTTTAGCTCTAATTTCATACAATCTTATGAAGTAGGAATTTGAATAACCATTTTGTCTGTGAGTAACCTAAGGTTCCAGTTACACTCTGAAAATCTCTTTCCTTCACAGTATTTATCTCAGTTTGCAATTACACACTTAAGTGTGATTACTTGCCTAATTCTATCTTTCCACTAGGTTGTAATCGCCAAGATAGAAGAGATGGGTCTGCATTTGCTCATGATGGCGCCTATCAAGTAGATACATAAGTCATAGGGCCACGTTGTAGGTGTGTAATAAACATTCAGTGAATAAATGAGTGAAGGAGTGAGCATATATGAGCAAGTGTCAAGGAAACCTGGCTTCTCACAGTGTTTAAATTCCAAAGGCATCATTTTGACTGAGCATGCACCATTCACAAGGAGAAAAACGGGATCCCATGGGGTCTGAAGCGGTTCCAACTAATAAAAGAGTACCTGATTCATAGAGCTAGGACTGTGATTAATAGAGCATTTACAATTGTGTGAGCAAATTCCATTCCCTGTGACAAATATCTTCTCCAGATTAAATGAACAATACAACATTTTACATGCTTCACCGTCGACAGCTCCATTCTGGGAAGTTTGTTTTTGACATTGAATAAATATTCCAGAAGAAATAAATAACTCAAGAAGAACCTGTGACTGTATCTCCAGAAGCCTTTGCCTCTTGTCAGTGAAACTAATAGGGCACACAATCTATTTAAATGTAAATTTAAATACATCATTTTCTCCACCTTTCTGCTCTCTTTGTTTCTTGTGATCCGGAGATTGTAGGACTGTATCTACTATTCTCCAATATGCAGGGGTTTGGGGGTTGGGGGTTTTAGTTTAATGCAAGACTAAATCAAGGTATTTGCGGATGTGAATGTTTTATTTCCACAGTTAGGGAGGAAGGAACGCGCCCTGAAAACACAAGGCGAGTCCTTTGGGGCGGGGAGGGGTGGACCAGGCGTGAGGCCCATCTTCAGCTGAGGACGCCGTTACTAAGCAACCCCTCGCGTTCTCAACCGCCGCCCGAAAGCCAATTCCCGGCCCTCATTGCCAAGGAGATCGACGCCCCTGCTTAGCCCTGCCGTAAACCCGCGCGCTGTTGCGACAGTGCCGCGCCTGCCGCTGCGTGCGCGCCCTCTGCCCCCATCTCCACTCTCCGCCCGGTCGCCATTGCCTCGTGCCCGCGCCGGTCGGTTGGTGGCGCCTTTGTCCTACGGCGGGCAGGTGGGCTGACGCGGAGGCGGCGGCGGCGGGCCTGAGGCGAAGGAGCGGCAGGGAGCCCGCCGCGTTGGTAGCGGTGAGTGCTGGGAAGCAGCGGCCGTCTGCTGAGGCTCTGGGCTGACGGGCAGGCGGTTGAGCTGGCCGGACAGGGAGGCTGCGGCTGAAAGGCCCGCTCGACGCGCGGCCGCGGCCGCGGCCTCGGCTCCTCTCCGGGTGCGCGCGGGGCTGCGCATGCCA